TATACCAGAACGTAATCATTTTCAAAAGGGTGATTCTTTCTCAAATTCCAAACATTTTCTGAAATTAGTATGAAAAGTATGGTTAAAATGTAAAATATATTTGAAATCTGGTTGACCTGCAAAAGCGATTTAAGGTATCTTGAAAGTTTAGGACGAATTTATGTAAGGATAGACATCCTTTTCTTACTAAATGTACAATTAGCTCTAATATTTTGCGCCCCTTATATTCTGCATTTTACTGATTTAAGTCTCAATCAGTTTTTCATTTTGAGTTCTCATTGGAACGATTATTGTCATATGAAAATAGTAGGTCCACGTATTGAAATGTTTGCTTAAATGTGTTCGCATCTTCCAGCTGAAGCACGATGTAGGTCCTGGAGTTGAAAGCTAAATGCCAATTTTATACATGAAAGATCGCCATTAAACATCGTATTGCGCATTCATTTAATTTTTAATATTATTAATCAGAATTCAAAGAATTGAGTTATATGCGTAATAACTAACATAACATACATTTATATGGTGGATATAGTTCTTTATTTTGATCACAAAAAAACGTTTGAATTCAATATGATAAGCCAAATTGAAAAAAAATGTAAAATTGACAAAAAAGAAAAACAAATAAAACCCGTAAAGAAAGTCTTAAAGTCGGGCGGGGCCAACTTTATGATACCCTACACCACTTTGCTAATTTAGTAGAGCTCCGCATAACAATTAAAAATTTTTATGGAAGAATTCAAACATACACGCTATGATTATAATTATAATTTAAAGTTCAAAGGACTAAATATGCCGAAGCATTTGTATCTTTTAAATTCGGACTTGTATTGTCCATTTGGTGCACAATTAATTTGAAATCGGTTAAAGATATATATGGGAGCTATATCCAAATCGGAACCGATCTCGATAAAATTTGGCCAAGATATTTCTAAGCTGTATTTGATATATTTCGCCAAATATTGATGTTACAGAATGCATATTACGGCTGCGGAGGACAAAAATAACAAATAGGATGAACAATATATATGGGAGCTATAGCTATATCTGAACCGGTTTCGGTCAAATTTGGCATACTTATTTCCAGGCCTAATTTGGTTGTATGTGCAAATTCCATACTATTCGGGCTGATATTACACGTTTGGTGGACAATAAAAAGCAAATCGGACGAATATATATATATATGGGAACTATATCTAAATTTTGACCGATTATCTCCAATTTCAATAGGGTTTGTCCTTGGGCCAAACAAAAGATTTGTGCACAATTTCATCTGGATAGGAAAATTTGTTTACAAAATTACATGGACAGACAGACAGACGGACGGACGGACGGACGGAAATGCATAAACCGAGTCAGAATGTGATTCTATGCACATAATCAAATGGAACTATGGGTCTATCTCGTTTCCTTTTGCCTGTTACAAACAAATGCACAAAGACATAATACCTTGACCACCTTGTGGTGTACGACGTCATTTATTCAGTTTCCCCACCATATAATTCGGTACTACTCCTCAATGTAACCCGCCAGCAATTTTAGTTTTCAAGAAATCGAGTCAATTAGATAAAGTTAATCGTAAAAAAACGTTGGTAATCTTTGAAACGATAAATACATAAAATCTATATATAACACATTTGTCCATTTCCGTTTTATACTCCCCAATTTTATACTCGTACTAGAATTAACAAGTAAATAAGCAGTAAGTTCGGCCGCAGTAAGTACCCTCCACCATATGGAACGAATTAGGACATTTTTAAAAAATAAAAATAAAATCCATTAAAAATTCTGTTAAAATCTCGGAAGGTGCCGATATATGGGGGGATAAACGATATTGTGGACCTTTATAACCAAATTTATGTCTAGGGATAAAATACTCACAAATAACTTCTTGTATAGAATTTAAAACAATTCCGTTTAAAACTGTGGCTAAAATCATCAAAAATACCGAATATCGGGGGGTACAGTTATATGGGGGATATACGATATCACAGACCTATATATAGAACTCCCTGTCAGGGGATAAAGTGTTCACAAAGAACCACTTGTGTAGAAAATCATCAAAATACCGAATATTGGGGGGTACCGTTATATGTGGACTATATGATATCGTGGTCCTATATAGATAATTCTCTTTCAAGGAATAAATTATTCACAAGAAACCCCTTGTGTAGAATTTTAAACAATTCCGTCGAAAAACGCGGCTAAAATCACAGAAATACCGAATATCGGAGGTACCGTTATAAGGGGGATATACGATAACTTGGACCTATATAGACAATTCTCTTTCAGGGGGTAAAGTGATCACAAGGAACTCCTCGTGTGGACTTTCAGACTATTCTATTAGAAAATGTGGCTAAAATCATCAAAATACAGAATATCGGGGGTACCGTCATATGGGGGCTACACGATATCGTAGACCCATATAGATAATTCTCAGCCAAGGGTAAAGTACTCAAAAAGAACTCCTTGTGTGGATTTTTATACAATTCCATTAGAAAATGTGGCTAAAATCATCAAAATACCGAATAGCATTGTTTTAATAAAACTACAAATTTATACAATTTAATAAAACTTTATTTATTATTGCAAAAACTATACATATTTCGAATCTGAATAAATTAACTTTGTAATAATTGAAAAGTTCCACTCAGAATGGTGAGCGATTAAAAACGCGAAAATCCTAAAAGTGCCGACTACTGGTACACTTACCCTACAAGGTCTGTGTTGAAGATGGAATACATCAGTCCACAATTTTCAATAGGTTTATTTCTCATAAATTTCCTAACACATCGGAGATTCTTAGATATTCTTCGAAACATTTCACTCAACCAGAGATTTGAATTGAAAATAAAAATAGTCAAAATCTGGCACGTTTTAATATTTATATCTGCCCTTGGTTGGAACTGGAATTGACCCACTCATTCGGTCAATATTTTAAGAATATCGCAAGTCATAATTTATTTTAATAAACGAAGATTAACGGAAGTATCACAACCGTCGGCAAAACCGACTGACACTTTCTAACTTGTTTTTCAAAATTTCAGGAAAAAATTAGTAGATTGCCAAAGTAGGGCTAGAAAATGACGACACGAGTTTTATAAATGATCATTAGAGGGGGTAAGTAGCTCAACTTCCCACATTTTTTGAAATTTTCGGATTATGAATTATTGGAATCCCTGAATTTTTGGTATATTGTGTCTTCGACAATGTCACTGATATAAATAAACGGATTATTTTGGTGATATTGTCCCTTTTTTGCAAAGTCCTTTTAAACGGTATCATAGCAAGTCAAAAGGTTCCACAATATTCTCCCATAAAGTAGTACGATATCACTCTAGCTTCCCAGCGGAATGACCTAGGTTAATAAAATGTTAATCAAGTATATTTTAAGTCTGTATAATTTTTGACATTGACAATGTGTCATATAGATCCACTATTTGGAATAGCTCCATACACCGAAGTAGCCAGTAATACCTCTACAAACCATTTAGGTGGCCCAACCGACAAAAAATTAGGTTTTAAAACAAAATTTCCTAAAATATCAATAAATTTACCCCTTCGGTAAATGACTGCATCGCTGGAAATTGTTATTCTACAGCCCGGTTTGATACTCACCAGAATGCGAACTACTCTTTTGGTGCCAAGGTAGAATTTGCTTCAAGGAAATCTACATTAACCTCATTTAAATTTCAGATTACTGTATATAAAATCATCAAAATACTGAATAATATACCCTCCATACTATGTATGGTGAAGGGTATAAAAAAACACTACAAATGTACATTCGAAAATAAAACATTAATATTGTACATTCAAAAGTCAAAATGAAAATTTTAAAAATTCAAATTTTTACGCGATTTTTATGGATTTTATCCTTTTCTGCCAAGATACAATTCCGAATTTGTCTGATTCGTTAAAATCAGTTCAACGGTTCTTGAGTTATAAGCGTAGTAAGTAACACAACTTTCTTTTATATATAGATTATAATTTCCGGCTTTATCTAAGTTTGACAATAATAATACTATGAACCAAGTTTTGATCAAATCGGATACTCCCCTCGAGAGTTATTGTGCGCACCAGCCAGACAGAGAAACGCACGGACATCGGTAGATCGACTCCAAATATCCTGAAACAGATTTTATCATAGAGTATTAAATCGTTATTTCGATGAGGCACGTTTTTGCCTTATCAAATGATATATACCGTCTGTAGCCATATGGCTGAGGGTACTCGTATAAAAAGAGGGCAAGTTCTCCACTCTTGGAAATTTCGGATAAAGATCCCTCAGAATCCGCTCATTGCATTATATAGTGTCTTCGGCATTATTGCGGAAAAATAGAGAAGAAAGATGCAATTTTTAAATGTGTTAAAAAACTTTCTTTAAACGATGAATAATTCGATATCAAATAAAACAAATATGGAATATTTTTCGGATTTTTTTAGAAACATTGATTCAATTTTATTGACATACCGTGGAAATAGAGATTTATTTTCTTTAGTGACATATAATAAAATTTGATGAAGAATATTTTTTTTGGCTTTGACGTCATCATTCTTAAAGTGCTTTATTGTTTTTAACGGATTTTTTTTGGAACGTTGATTCAATTTTTTGACATACCGTGGAAATAGAGATTTCTTTTCTTTAGTGACATATAATAAAATTTGATGAAGAATATTTTTTTGGCTTTGACATCATCATTCTTAAAGTGCTTTATTGCTTTCAACTAGACCCCCCCCCCTCAATTTTGCTTACTTTTCGGTATAAATTTCCAAAACGACGATACACATTTCTTCTGTTTTAAGCTCCACTTTCATAATCTAATTTATAGTTCTTCTTGAATATCTAGTTGGTGACATATTTCCTTGCCAACATATATTAAGCATGTCCATTGCGAGGCACTGCCTTTAGCATAAATCACATTTCAATTTTATTTGTGTAACATTATTTTATAACATTTCATAATATTTAAAAAAAATAACATTGGAGTTAGAGCATTTTTACGAAATCGTCCCTTATACATCACCTCCATGGACGTAGCTGACTCGATTAGCTGCAGTTGTGTTGTTTTTCAATGCCAATTGTTCTGACTGATCGTAGGTTTCACGCATGCGTTCATAGAGAATGTAGACAGGGACAAAAATCAATATGGTCAGACCTAAAATTAAAAACAAAAAATACAATTTGCATTACAATAGCTATTACAGGATATTAAAGTATCCTAGAGTCCTAGAGTTTGACAAGAAATAATAAAAAACTTAATAAACTTAGCTAAATGTTATCTTCTTTGAAAGATTAATATATAAAATGGAATTTGAAGCTCTTCTAACAGCAAATTAGTGAAAAAGCAGATCATTCTTTCAAAAAAATCCGTAGAAAAATACCACATAAATGAAAACCGTTATATGGATGATGTATGAAGACGTGGGGGATATACGAAGACCTGCATAAGTAATTATTTGTCATAGACTGTAAAATCGATTCTGAATATCGGTGGTATCGTTGAATGGGGAATATACTATAACGTGGCCCAATGTAGACAACTCACTTCCAGTAGGTAAAGTACGCAGAAGAAACTCTTGGTGTGCGTTTTCAGACAATTTCATGGACAAATTTGGCAAAAATCATGAAAATACATAATATCGGGAGGTGCCGTTATATGGGGGATCTACGATATCTTGGACCTATATGGGCAATTCTATTCCAGGAGGTGAAGTACTCAGAAGCAACTTCTGGTCCAATTCCATTGGAATATTTGGCTACAATCATCACAATGCCGAGTATCGGGTGGAACCCTTATATTGGTGTTATACGATATCGTGGACCTATATAGACAGTTCTCTTTCAGGGGGCAAACTACTCAGAAGGAACTCCTTGCATGGAACTTCAGACAATTCCACTAAAAAATGTTGCTACAATCATCAAATCAACATAGACAGACGAACGTACATTGCTAGATCGACTCAGCTCGGCGAGAAAGATTGATTGATTTATAATTTCTTATGTGCAGGACCAATATTTCAAGGTAATTTGCCCCAATCAAACTTATACTACCGCCAACACATAGTGTTGTAGGGTATAGCGGACAAACGGAATAAGCTACAATTCTGATATTTAGAATGAGAGTCACTGTTAGGGTGCAGGATAGATGTACCAAAGGTTTTACGAACGTTAAGGTTACGAAAAGTTCTAAAATGTTACTAAACTTCTAAAAAAGTACCATTTGGTATTATGTGAACGGATAGGGCAAAAAGCATGAAATTTGAGAATGAGAATTTAGGTTAGAAAGTCAGTTTGATACATGAAGGTGGTTTTGGAATTTGTTACTAAATGTTCGAACTGTACTAAATGATACGAAATTTGGATCAGAATGGATGAAGCTGGAATTATGAAATTTTGTTGACGGTTGATTTGTGATAAAGAGGTGGTTTTAGAAATATGTGCACTCAAAGTACTGAATAGTACTATATTTGGTACAATTTGGTATTGAGTCGTGCTTGGAATCGAAAATATGGTATTGGGGTCGCTATTCATGTGTAGGCTGGACATATGGAGTGGTTTCGGAAATACAATCATTTTATGAAAAGTACTGAATGGTACTATATTTGATATTGGTTGAATGGTCTTTAGTCTGGGGAGATTTGAAATTTGATATTTTGATTGGTATTGTTATTGAGATCTCTGTTGGTATCTGTAACTGAGATATGGAGGTGGTTTTAGAAATGTTTACGAAAATTAATAAATGCTACTAAATTTGTTGTTGTGCGAACAGGATCGCTGAAGGCTGTTTTATTATTGTACGAAAATTACTAAATGGCACTGAGTTTTGTTTCAAAATTTGATATTTAGAAGACTGTTGTTGTTGGGGTTTGTAAATGCGAACTATAGTTGCTCGAAAAGTACTACACTGAACTAAATTTGGTATTGGGTGAGGGATCAAAACTGAAACCGTGTAATTTTATAATTTCAAATAAGTACTAAAAATTTTACGAAACACCAAATAGTACTAAATTCGGTATTGGGTAAATGTACAGAGCTGGATCCCAAAATTTCATATTGAGGTATCTCTTGGTATCTGGTGGTGGTTTTTCAAATGCATACTAGAATTGTTTTCATACCCTCCACCATACTATGAAGGGTATAGTCAAACTTAGTCATTTCGTTTGTAACTCCTCGAAATACTCATGTCAGACCCAACAAAATATATATATTCTTAATCAGCGTAAAATTCTAAGTCGATTTAGCGATGTCCGTCTGTCCGTCCGTCTGTCTATTGTAATCACGCTATCTTTCGAACGAAAATAGAAGGCTAAAATTTTGCACACATATTTATTTTTCCAGTAGGCAGGTTAAGTTCGTAAATGGGCCAGGTAGGTCCATGTTTTCATATAGCCCCCATATAACGATACCTCCCGATAATCGGTATTCTGATGATTTTAGCAACATTTTTAACCGAAATTGTTTCAAATTTGATATTTGAGATTCGTAATGGATACTACAGCCTGTGACAGAAAATTGTCTATGCAGGTCCACGTCTTCGTATAGCCCCCATATAAAGGTACCTCCCAATATTCGGTATTGTGATTATTTTAGCGTCATTATTCACCGGAATTGTCTATGTAGGTCCAGGTCTTCGTATAGGCCCCATATATCAGTACCTCCCTATATTCGGTATTTTGACGAGTTAAGGTACAATATCCACCGAAATTGTTTGAGATGTCGTATTTGAAATTCGTAATGGATGCTACAGCCTGTGACAGAAAATTGTTTATGATGGTCCAGGTCTTCGCACAGCTCCGATATAACGTTACCTCCCTAGATACGATATTTTGATGATTTTAGCTACATCATTCACTGTTTATTTCAAGTTTTGAATTTGAATATGTTAATGTCTTATGACAAACAAAGCCAATGTAGGTCCACGTCGTATAGACCCCAATATATAACGACTGTATTCGGTATTTTTAAAATATTTAACAGAATTTTTTAGAGATTTAATTTTTTGAAATTTTCCAAATTCGTTCCAAATGGTGGAGGGTATTCAAAGTTCGACCCGGCTGAACTTACTGCTTTTTAACATGTTTTATGTCAAACTGCATTTTGCATTTTAATACAAAATCCAAAAACATACATATGCCACGAACTCATGAAAAGTTGTTCCATCTAAACTAGCTTACTGGAAAATTGTGGTGTCAGGTCTATGGTGAAACGTTATAATGACCCCATCCGATCCTTAAGCTGGAAATGAATACAATGTTTTTTACCCCAAACAGTCTAATGTTCGACATCAGGAATTTAAATTTAGAATGGGTTTTAAGAAGTTTCGTGTTGTTCATTGTAGTCGAAAAAGTTTCAGATCTACATGGTCGTTCTCGCACTGCCAAAGCTTTCGCTTGATCTGTCAAATCTATGCAACTCATTTCTTCAGTTTACTGACTATGAGATTGAAAACTTGGAGGAAGATTCCAATTTGTTAAACGGAATGAACGAACAGACATCTGAATAATGACAATTTATCCATATTTCCTTTTAACAATTCCGTGTAGAATTATGAGGCATGTATTGAGGCACGAGATTCAACTTACTTGTAAAGATAACATCCAAAACGGTGCGCAAGGCAATTTCTCCGGTTGGGGCATTGGCATTAATTGCTTTAATTGGACCGATCACGACACCCAACACAAAGAGGCCAATTATGACAAAGTTTCCAAAGATATAGGGACGCATAAGATTAGGTCTTTCCTAAAATTTACAACTTTTAATAACCAACCACATCTTGCTTCTTTCTCCTACACATACTTACCTTAATAATTCCTGCCACCAGCAGACTGGCCAAAATACAATAAATAATATTGGAAAAACACCATGTTATCAAAATCACTAAACTGTCACCTTCCGGTTCGTCGTCTTCATCAATATCTGGGGCTGGGGTTGTTGTGCTTGTGGTGGTCGTGGTGACAACTGCTTTTAAAATTGTTGTTGCATCGACATCCACAATCGATTTGATTTCATGTTCTTGCAAATCGCCCTGCAACTTAAAGTCATGAAGGCATATGGCAATAAAAGTTGTCACTATGAAAACAATACAGAAAACTATCTCCAGGACACCCAAAACCAAACTGTAGATGCGAAAATTGCAACAACCCATTTTCTGTGGGGAATTGATTGATTAATTTGCTCTTTGCTATGTTTCTCGTCTTGTTCCTTTGAGTGCCGAAATGATTTTGAAAGCCAAAAAGGAATTGAACGCAGCAACGACGTTGACTGGCATCATCTTGGAATATCTTTTTTCCCTCTTACTTAGCATCGACCCACTTCCCATTCTTGTGTTCAAACGAAAGACATGACGCCAAAAATCTGGAACACAAAACAGCCAGTTCGTCGTCCTTTTATTCATTTTACTTTTAATATTTTTTGTTGTTGTCTGTAACCCATCCTTGACATGGAATTTTTGTTGCTTTATTTCCAAATATCTGCATTCGAGTGTGGGATCATTAATGAAATCATCTCGGATGCGTAAGAATTTCAAATGATAAGAGACAGAGGACAGTAACGTTGGGAGATTGGGTGACTTTGGAATGTATCGGACGAATAGAATGTAACTGTTGATGGGAAAGAACAAGCAGCATGTAAATGTTTTATTTTCGTATTTTTTAAGAATATCAGTGTCATAAGTTAAGCGTCCACTGTAATAGCAGTATTTTCAGAATATATGTACTTAATGGATATTCAATAAATATCACAGAGGTAAATAAATGAAGTTTAGAACTACCTAAAAAATGGCGAGCTCCACATAAGTAACCGATGTATAAGAACGAGATAAGTCTGCATTCTTCGTACAAAACGTAATTTATGCAGTGGCAAAATACTACTTGAAATCTGAATTTACACTGGACCGAAATGACCTATAACAATAACTCTTTATGTAATCCAACACCCTATATAAGGTCAGAAAAAATTGTCAGAATATTAAGAATAGTTTCTTAATATTTAATTGAAATAGGGATTTCTTTTCTTTGGTGACCTATAGTGAAATTTGGTGAAGAATAATTTTGTCTTTAACATATATTTCTAAAATAATGCTTTGTAGGAGTTTTTTATACCCTCCACCTTAAGAAGGAGGGTATATTAACTTTGTCATTCCGTTTGTAACATATTTGGTATTTTGATGATGATTTGATTTTTGCCACATTTTTCTACGGATTTGTCTAAAAATTTTTATTTGTAGTTCGTAATGGATTCCGGCTTCGGTGGCGAAACATTGTATGCATAGGTTCACCTTTTATATAGCCCCTATATAACGGTACCTCCCAATAATCGGCATTTTGATTATTTTTGCCTCATTTTTTTACGGATATATCTAAAAATTGGTTTTTGTAGTTCGCAACATATTTTCACGGATTTGTCTAAAAATAAGTATTCGTAGTTCTGTTCTTGATCAGCGTAAAATTCTAAGTTGATTTAACCATGACCGTCCATCTGCCCATCTGTTGAAATCACGCTAGAATCCAAACGATTTGCGATAGGAAGTTTAAATTTTGTACAAAGGTGATTTTTGTCTGCAGGCAAATTAAATTCGGGTAGAACGGTACCTTCGCTATTTCGATGAATTCAGATACATTTTCTACCGGAAGTAATTAAAATAAGTTAAAAAGTATCAGTCTGTTATCCCGACATATGCATATCCTCATCCTATTATATTTTATTAAAATATATTTTGACTAATATTATGATTGTTCAAAATGTTGACCTTTATGGAGAAGATACTGAAGAAGGGGAAGGTTGGTATCCAACATCTTCACGAGAATCGGAAGTTTATTTCTTATTTTATGAGTGTCATAATTACAAAATTATTTTGAGCCATTGTCGGCGGAGGTACCAGAAGGAATGTTCGGATATATTCCATATTCACACCAAATCTTGTGTTAGCAGAAATATTGAGATATGCCGAGTTTGAAACTGGTCAAATGCTCATTTCGAGCTTTATGAGCTTCATGGTTTTAGACCAGATCTGTTACTTCAAATATTGCTGTGTGTGAAATTTGAATGGGATGCTTATTGCGCATTATCTATATCTATAAAAGAGGAAAATGTTTGTATGTTTGTTTGTTTGTTTGTAATTTATGGACTCGAAAACCGCTGAATAGATTTTCCTGAAAATGTCCATATATACTGCAACATCGCCTGAAAGTAACATAGGCTATATACTTTTTTGAATTTCCACTTGGAACTGGAGATATAGCATCAGAATCGGAGGTACCTCCCAAAAATTTAGATTTTATATGCACATATCTATTGATTGGTTGAAGATACAGTCTCCAAATTTGGAATACGTAACGGAATTTGGGACAAAACTAAGTTTGCCAAATTATATTGTAATCGGTTCAGATTTGGATATAGCTCCCATATATATTTTCGACCGATTTCGTTCATTTGATGCCTCAAACACAATATGAATGTTCGATTCCAATGAAATTTGGAATGTGTGACGGGATTTAATCCGAAAATAAATTTGTCAAATTATATTGAAATCGGTTCAGATTTGGATATAGCTCCCATATATATTTTCGGCCGATTTCAAGCATTTGATGCACCAAACACGCTATGTATCCCCAATTTCAATGAAATTTGAAACGTGTGAAAGATTTTATCTAAAAAATTGATTTCCAAAATTATATTGAAATCGGTTCAGATTTGGATATAGCTCCCATATACATTTTCGGCCGATTTAATGTATTTGGTGGACCAAACACGACATGTATTTCCAATTGTAATGAAATTAAAATAAGTAACGGAATTGGGAGCCAAAATGAATTTGTCAAATTAAATTGAAATCGGTTTAGATTTGGGAGCTATATCCAAATCTAAACCGATTTCAATTTAATTTGACAAATTCATTTTGGCTCCCAATTCCGTTACTTATTTTAATTTCATTACAATTGGAAATACATGTATTATATTTTATTTTCTACCGATTTCATGTATTTGATGCACCAAACACGCTATGTTTCTCTAATTTCAATGAGATTTGGAATGTGTAGCGGAAATTAAAACAAATATACATTTGTCAAATTATATTAAAATCGGTTCAGATTTGGATATAGCTCTCATATATATTTTCGACCGATTTCATGTATTTTATGCACCATGTTCGATTCCAAAGAAATTTGGAATATGTAACGGGATTTTGATTAGAAAATAAATTAGTCAAATTATATTAAAATCGGTATAGATTTGGATATAGCTCCCATATATATTTTCCGCCGATTTCATATATTTGATGCACAAAACACGATACGTATTTCCGATTCCAACGAAATTCGGCATGAGTGGCTAAATTTGGTACAAAAATAAATTTGACAAATAATATTCAAATACGCTTAGATGTGATTATAACTCCCAAATATATACTCAGCCGATTTCTCATATTTGATGCACACAAAGCGAGAGAGACAAAAGCTGGCACCAGCAAAAAGTGCCAAATTATATTGAAATCAGTTGAGGTTTGGATATAGCTAACATATATATTTCGGCCGGTTTCATACATATTATGCACCAAACACGATATATATGACCGATTCCAATAAAATTCAGAATGTGTGGCGGAATTTGGTTATAATAATATTAATTAATTAATTTATTTAATTAATTTATCACATTAATTGGAAATTAGTTAAGATTTGGATATAGCTCCCATATATATATATATTCTCGGCCGATTTCACATATTTGACGCACCAATTTCAATGAAATATGAAAGGTGTGGCGGAGGTTGGTGTAAAAGTAATTTTTTTAAAATTATATTTAAATTGGATCAGATTGGGATATGATTTTAATAAGAACCATTGACCCACAACGCCTTAGGCTAACACTAAAAAACAACACAACAATTTATTTGAAATACGCTTATTACGGCGAAGTATGTTGCTATCTCGAATTCACTAATTGCAATAGAAATGCCACTCTACTTAAAAAAAATTGCAGTTTCCTGCACGCTTTGTATTTGCTATGAAATAAATAAATCCAAAGGACAAACCCTTCGTGTATGCATGTCATGTTACTGCTTTTGTAATGATTTTGTTTATTAACGCATTAAATTAGCGCAATATTTTTTTTTTAAATTTGTTTTTCTTTATCCAACATATATTCGTAAATAAAATTTGAATGCATATAAAATCAAATGGGGTAGCGAAGCGCACCGGGTTCAGCTAGTCTTCTATATCTATAAAAGAGGAAAAAGTTTGTTTGTTTGTTTGTAATTTATGGACTCGAAAACCGCTGAACAGATTTTCCTGAAAATTTGCATGTATACTGCAACATCGCCTGAAAGTAACATAGGCTATATACATTTTTGAAATTCCACTTGGAAGTGGAGATATAGCACCAGAATTGGAGGTACCTCCCAAAAATTTAGATTTTGTATGCACATATCTATTGATCGATTACAGATAAAGTCGCCAAATTTGGAATGCGTAACGGAATTTGGAACAAAAATAAATTTGCCAAATTATATTGAAATCGGTTCAGATTTGGATATAGCTCCCTTATATATTTTCGGCCGATTTCAAGCATTTGATGCACCAAACACGCTATGTATCCCAAATTTCAATCAATTTTGAAACGTGTGATGGATTTTACTTAAAAAATTGATTTCCCAAATTATATTGAAATCGGTTCAGATTTAGATATAGCTTCCATATATATTTTCGACCGATTTCGTTCATTTGGTGCCTCAAACACGATATGAATGTTCGATTCCAATAAAATTTGGAATGTTTAACGGGATTTGATCCGAAAATAAATTTTTCAAATTATATTGAAATTGGTTCAGATTTGGATATAGCTCCCATATACATTTTCGGCCGATTTCATGTATTTGGTGCACAAAACACGATATGTATATCCAATTTTAATGAAATTTAAAATAAGTAACGAAATTGGGAGTAAAAATGAATTTGTCAAATTAAATTGAAATCGGTTCAGATTTGTATATAGCTCTCATATATACTTTCGACCGATTTCATTTGGTGCACCATACACGATATGTATGTTCAATTCCAAAGGAATTTGGAATATGTAGCGGGATTTCGATTAGAAAATAAAAAAGTCAAATTATATTAAAATCGGTTTAGATTTGGATATAGCTCC